GGATGTGCAGGGCTTAACCATCACAAACCCTCTAAGTGAACCCTTTACTGTACAATAAGAAAATATTCTGAACAACTTTATGCCAAATCAGTCAACAACTTAGATGAAACAAGTATCTTAAAAGAAAAACTATGAAAAGTCACTCAAAAATAAATAATCTAAATAGCCCTATATCAAAGAAACTTATTTTGTGGTTAAAGTTTCCCACAAAGAAAACTCCAGATGGATTCGCTGGTAAATTCTACCAAGTATATAAGTACGAATTAATACTAAAGCTACATGAGTCTTCCAGAAAATGGAAAAGAAAAAAAAATGTTTCTCATTTGGTGAGATCAGTATTAACCTGATCCCAAAACAAGGCAGACATCACACAAACAATTACATACATTAGTATCCTTCATGAACATATGCAAAAATTCTAAACAAAATTTTAGCCAATCAAGTCCAAGAATATATAAAAAGCATAATATATTATGTCTAAGTAAAGTTGATCCCAGGATGCAAGATTTGTGTAACACTGGCCAATCAATTCAACTCACCATATTAACAATCTAAAAAAGAAAAATCTGGGGCACCTGGGTGGCTCAGTCATTAAGCATCTGCCTTTGGCTCAGGTCGTGATCCCAGGGTCCTGGGATCCAGTCCCCGCTTCTCCCTCTCACACTCCCCTTGCTTGTATTGCCTCTCTCACTGTCTCTCTCTCTGTCAGATAAATAAATAAAATCTTAAAAAAAAAAAAAAGAAAATCCTATTATCACCTCAATAGACCCAGAAAAAGGATGCAAGAAAATCCATTATCCATTTCTTTTTTTTTTTAAGACTTTATTTATTTATTTGAGAGAGAGAGAGAGAGAGAAAGAAGAGCAGGGGAGAGGGAGAAACAGGCTCTCTGCAGAGCAGAGAACCCGATGCAGGACTCGATCCCAGGACCCTGAGATCATGACCTGAGCCAAAGGCAGACGCTTAACCGACTGAGCCACCCAGGTGCCCCCCATTATCCATTTCTGATAAAAGCTCTCAGCAAACTGGGAATTTCAACAGCATGATAAAAAGTATCTACCAAAAAACCTAAAGCTAACACCATATTTAATGGTAAAAGACTTTTATGCTTTTCCCCTAAGATCAGAAACAAGACAGGGTATTAATCTCACTTCTATTCAACATTATACCGGTGGGTCTTGGCTAGTGCAATAAGGCAAGAAAATAAATAAATGGCATGCAGATTCGAAAGAAAGAAATAAAATTGTGATTTGCAGACATGATCATCCATGTAGAAAATCCAATGAAATTTACCTTAAAATGCTGCTATAACTAATAAGTGTATTTATCATGGTTGATCAACAAACATAAATCAATTTTATTTCTATATAGTAGATACAAACACAAAAAATTGAATATTGAATTAAAAGTGCTATTTACAATGGGTCATGCTATTAACTATTCGGATAAATCTGACAGAAGATGTGCAAAATACATATACTGAAAACTGCAGAATATTGTTGAAATACTATTTTAAGGCTTTATAAAAAATAAAATGGTATCTTGGGATTCTTCTCTTCTCAACCTATTTTTAGTTTTTTATTTACTAACCAATGAGTCCATGGCTGCAAATAGCAATAAGTAATAAATGGGGCTAATGTTATTCACCATCACAGAAATTCATACTAAAAAGGAATCTCCAGAATACATGAAATGTGGAAATGTTTCATCTCAATACTTAACTTGGAAAGGTTTAGTCTTTCAACATTTATTTGAAGGCTCAGTAGGCATCAAACATTTTGTTATGCTCTGGCTGAATAAAAGATGCATCCCCTGATCTTATGAAGCTGTTACCTAATAGAGGAAAATAGATAATAAACAAGCAAGCAAACAAAGCAAATTACTTAAGAGTTGTAATTAGTGCTATTAAAGTAATAACATGGAAATGGGGGTGGGTGGGAGGGGTGCTACTTGGATAAGGGGGTTAATAGTTAATAGCATGACCCATTGTAAATAGCACTTTTAATTCAATATTCAATTTTTTGTGTGTATCTACTATATAGAAATAAAATTGATTTATGTTTGTTGATCAACCATGATAAATACACTTATTAGTTATAGCAGCATTTTAAGGTAAATTTCATTGGATTTTCTACATGGATGATCATGTCTGCAAATCACAATTTTATTTCTTTCTTTCGAATCTGCATGCCATTTATTTATTTTCTTGCCTTATTGCACTAGCCAAGACCCACCGGTATAATGTTGAATAGAAGTGAGATTAATACCCTGTCTTGTTTCTGATCTTAGGGGAAAAGCATAAAAGTCTTTTACCATTAAATATGGTGTTAGGGATTTTGAAAGTCTAAGTGGACATTCAAGTCAAAACCTGAAGCAGAAAGAACCAGACTGATAAGGGAAAGATTATTATGGCCAAATAGAACAGCATTTGGGAAAGCCCTGTGTAGGGCAGGAGGAGGTAGGGGGTGAGCCTGACATGTTCCAAACCTCCAAAGAAAGTCAATTTGACTAGAGTGTAGGGACTATTGAGTAAAGGGAAAGATAAGCCTAATGATCACTTAAGAGAGGTACAAAGGGGTGAGGTCACACAGGCTCACACAGGAACTGGTATTTTATTCAAAATGCAACAGGAAGTCATTTTACAGTTTTAACCAGACTACACACATTAGATTTTCATTTTTTTAAAACATCATCTCTAGTTGTTCTGGTAGAGAATCAATCGGAGGGAATATAATGACCTAAGTTATCACAGATGATTCCCTTTTGCCATAAACACATAAAAGTGCTGAATAACATATAGCATGTTTTTATTTAAAAGAAAAAATACAGGGGCCTCTAGGTGGCTCAGTTAGTTGAACCTCCAACTCTTGATTTCGGCTCAGGTCATGATCTCAGTCAGGGTCAGGAGACTGAGCCCTGTGCCAGTTTCCACACTCAGCAGGGAGTCTGCTTCTCTCCCTCTGCCCCTCCCCCCACTCATGCTCTCCCACTCTCTCTCCCCCCAAAAAATAAATAAATCTTTAGGGAAAAAAATATATCCTAGAACATAAAAGAAAGCAAAAAGAGATGTAGAAAGCAAACCGAAGGGGGACTCTACCTGAATATAAGTGCTGGAGGCTGGGATTCCTGTACACATTTGAAGACAAGATCGCTGAAATAAAGTTCACAGCCTGGAAAGGATGGTCCATGTGATAACAGAGGGTTAGAAAAAAACTCAGCCTACTGATAACCTGAGCCCTGATCATATGTGGGGGAGAGATCCAAATTTATATCACAAGTTGAAAAAATTACTTTAAATTTGATTTAAAGCAACTGAAAGTTCTAGCTCCCAGCAAAACCAATCTGCAAAGACAGTCTCTCAACCCAAGATACAGAGGACTTTCACAAAGCAAAAAACTTCTTTGAAGCTAAGCTCCCATTAAAATATTATGTCATCTGAAGAAACCAGTCACCACGTGGGAAAGCCAACAGAAACAATAAGAGTTAGAACCTTGCAAACTGGAAATTGTAATTTTATACAGATGTTTTTTTACTATAATCTCATGTTTTGGTTCTCATTCAAGGCTGATGCAAAATCTTTTAAAATACCGTAATTTCCATCCCTATTAAGATTATTGATAATTCTTGAAATTCACCCAGAGCTAAAAAGAAAGTTTATGTATAAAATTTAACATGGGGCATACAGGGTGCTTCATTTTTACTACATGGCTGATGCTTGTAAATGGGAAACCGAATTAATTACCATTGGTACTGATCCCCACCTGCTAGATAATCCGTATCTTTAAAATATTTAGTCCATGTCCCAAACCTGAAGGATCTGTCTCACCAATCCTTTCGAATTGCACTTTAATTTTCAAATGTTAGGGAAAATGAGTCCACACTTAAAATGAAGCGTTTGTGAACGCTTAAATTTCAGAAATCACTTCTAAGTTTAAAAGTTCAAAAGTTAAAGAGGAATTCCAAACATCCTTCACCTTCTGGTCACCTATCCAAACCTGAAATATTCATTTCAACTCTTTTCTTGGTGTGGCACTTTATTTTCATTCTACTTCATTTCAATTTGTTTAAAATATTGGCAAGCTAAAGCCAAAAGTCACACTTGGGATTTTGAAACATAAGCCAAAATAATGAGGTTTTTTTAATGCAATATAATGAGAAACATGAAAGGCAGAGTGGTCTCTTTTAAATCGTCTTGCTCTATATGTATTCTGCATCTTAATCTTTGATATCTTTCTTGAAATGAGAAAATGGAAGCACAGACTTGTGTTCAAGGTCGAACCAAACAATGAAATTAGGACTCCAGAAAAGCCTAGTGTTTCCCCGCACCTCAGCGCCGACACTGTCTTCTCTGAATGAAAAACTGCTGGGAGATCATTTTAAAGTAGAGAGATTCAGGTATCCCTTAGGACAAAAGTTACAGATACGCGAGAATCATTCACAAAACATGGAGACAACCCACATCAGGTATTTGGGAGACCGAGCTGTGCAGAGAAACCCTGTTACACGTGTCTAGTCCCTTCCCATTATACCCCGGCCCTCTGAAATGTTTTTCCACAACTAAAGGCCTAACTGAACATTCTCTTGCGTCAATTTGCAGGATAATCCCAGGGCAGTTCTGGAAAAGATCTCCACAGGTCCCGAAAGCCACCCTCCCAAACCCAGCAAGTAGAGGGCTCCGCCCCAGTGACTTCCCAGAGGACCCAGGAGACCGGAGCTACCGCTCTTTTCCGCCACAGACTTGTAGCCACTTCCTAACTGCCTGTTTATCTCCACCCTCATCCCCATCGCCACTTCTCCCCTTATCTTGTTAAGCTACTAACCCAACGAGAATAAGAGAGAGGGATAGAGATCAGACTCAGGTCAAAGACATAAATGTCCCCGCGGCCGAGATTTCCGCAGGGAGTTTGTCCGGCACCGCCGGAGGCAACTCGAAGGGAGCTGGGCCCTGCTGCAAGCGAGAGGGGGCCTTGTAGCCAGAACTCGAAGCGTTCATTGGTTGATCGGCCGTGGCCGGGAAAGAACCCGGATGTGCCTGGGTAGTCGTGTTGGCAGTCGGGGCTTTGAGGTTTGGGCGTTCTGGGGGTACTGGCAGCCGAGGCGGATGGCGCGGGGTTGGGCCGGCTTCTCTGAGGAGGAGCTGAGGCGACTAAAGCAGGCTAAAGGTAACGGGACGTGCCGGCAGAGATTTAATCTTTGGGTCTCTTGGGGGAAGGGGCGGGGCTGCAGCGTTTGAGGGGAGAAGGGGGCGGGAAAGAGGGTAACGTGTGGGTGTTTGGGGAAGGAGCTATAATGGGAAGAGGGGATTGAGGGGCTCCAGAGGTGAATGTACTGGGACCCAGGGAGGGAGGGGCGAGTCCAGGGACCTGGGATTTTCTTTTAGAAAAGAAAGTTCAGGAATCCATTTCAGGGATTTGGATTTGACTTTTTCTGTGAAAGGAATGGGACTTGGGAGAGGAAGTGAGCCTACAGCCTAGCTGTCTCGTGTGGGAAGACTGCTGCATAAATCAATGGCTGGAGAATTGGGGTCGGGTAAAGGAAGGAGGAGGGGCACAAACCATATTAGAATTGTGATGAATTTATCAAAGTTGACAATGGTTGGGAAGAAGGAAGCACAGGGATCTGAATAAACGCAAAGAGACGATGCTTTTCATAATACATCTGGAGTCTTGCATTCACTTCTGGTTGCCAGACGACTTACGTAATTCTAACTCTTGAGAGTGAGAAAACCAAAAGTTTTTGAGAGGCTAACATGTGAGATTATACCTGTTGACTTTGTTGTCAGCTAAAAATTTGTGCTTCCCTCGCTGGAACTCGTACTATTTTCTTTTAATGAAGGAATGACTTTTGCTGTTACTTGATGAGAAACTCTTGGTATAAACTATGCTTTGTTTGTGGTTGAAATTTCGTGAAATTCTGTATGGTGATCTTGGTAGTGGACACTACATCACCCTGAGTACCATAATTTATGTACTTTACTTGTGGGAGAAAATTAAATGAGCCCTGGCATGCTTTTTGTTAGAGTTTGTGATCAAATTGGATGTTGCTCAGGTAAGTCTGTGTGTTAATTAGCATAGATGTAAAAATAATCTAAGGCTGACAAGTGGAAAAGGAAATAAAATAGTAACATAAGGCCAGTGTAGGTTATATAGATGGAGGAATTTTTGATTGGTCCAGAGGCCTTTAAAAAATTGTATCATAAAAGTTATACTACAGTGTGTAGTTAATTGACTTTAGCTTGAGGTTCTCAAATTCTTTTGCTGTGTTTTGAACATCCGTTCACATATTTGAATGTACAGAGTACAAGTATTCCTGCTTTTGGTCTGACCCAAAGTTAGAGGTATCATCTTCTGTATACACATACTAAGATGAACAAGGCATCATCCTTGCCTTCAAAGAGCTGATAGTCTAATGAGACAAACTATAATATAATGGATAGTAGAAAATTTACAAGAGCTTACTGCAGAGCTAGCAGGAACCTGACTGTGCTGGGGGTTGGGTGGAGCTTGGGAAGATTTCACAGAGACTATGTGTTAGCAGAGGTGAGTTTGCCAACTAAATTATAACAGTAGATTCGTTATGTAGAAGTACATTTCTAAATATCTCTTCAATTTGGGATAGAGTGGGGCTGGAAGGACGTTACCTTCAAGGCCTGTCATTCCATAGTGAGATGTTAGAGCATAGACACCAACCACTAGTCTATGTCCGCCCTACGTAGCATCTTTGTACACTCAGCCAAACACAGCGATTGGCATATAGATCTCCTAGCTCTGCCTCTAAATCTTTTGCCTTGAATTTCTCATTTGTAAAACTAGAAAATCTGGATTTTTAATTTTTAAGCCTCCTTCCTTAAAAAGTCTCCAACTTTAAAATATAATTAAGTAATCCATGAAGATGGAGTTGGTTGCCAGCAAAAATAAGCATGACAGTACTCTAGAGAAAACCATATGCACATTAGGAAAGATCAAGAATGTTCTTAGCATTCTTTTTTTTTTTTAAGATTTTATTTATTTATTTGAGATAGAGCATGTGCACAAGCAGGGGGAGTGACAGGCAGAGGGAGAAGGAGAGGGAGAAGCAGATTCCCTGCAGAGCAGGATTGACGCAGGGCTCAATCCCAGGACCCTGGGATCACAACCTAAGCTGAAGGCAGATGCTTAACCCACTGAGCCACCCAGGTGCCCCTGTTCTTAGCATTCTTATTTATAGTATTAAAAAGGTAGGAACAAACCAGTTGTTCATTTTAAAAAGTGGATAAATAAATTGTAATATAACCATCCATTGGGCTGCTATACAGCTGTGGGAATATATGAAGTATACCCACATGCATTACACACGTGTAAATTTCATAAATATAATGCATGAAAAGAGCAAGTTGCAGAAGAACAACCTGATACATTTGTAGAAGATCAAAATGATACAAAGCAGGTATATTGTTTTGGGAAAATAGGACATCAAAATACAGGATACTAGAAAGACAAGGGAATATTATCAGGAAGGGGCAAATACATAGGGAATTTCAAAAGTGTTGGTAATAATGAAATCAAGTTGAGACAAGTTACGCTACAGTAACAAAGAGCCCTAATATATCAATTGTTAAAAATAATAAAGATTTATTTTTCACTCTAGCTTCATGTCTAATATGGACTGGCAGGTCACTCTTTTCCACATAATTACTTCACGTTGTGTTTTGGTGCTATCATTTAGGAATTCACCATGGCATGAGAATTGAGCATTGGCAACTAAATGCTTCCATCAGTAAATGATAGGTGTCACTCACATTTCATTTAACAAAAGCAAGTTGTATGATTTGGAGGGCAATAAATACAATTATCTTATGTGTTCCAAAAGAGAGGATAACATGTCTATCATTGAATAGCAGTTATGTCTATTATAGTCATGTTTTATTTGTTAAAATGTTACTATTTTTGATAATCCATACAGGTTGGATATGTGTCTATAACACATACATGTATTTGATGTATGACTTATTTCATACTAAAAAACTGGAAATAAAAAAAGAAACAGTGCCACTACAGTGCCGTCAATGTCTAAAGAAAATATTCATGAGTTATTTATTCTTGATACTAGTTCTTTGCCAGGTATATTATGAATATCTTCTCCTCTGAATATCTTCTCCTAGCTTGTAACTTATTTTTTAACTTTTACCTTTTGATGAACAAAGTATTTAATTTTAATGTGGTCAAATTCGTCACATTTTTGTGTCTTAAGAATTTACTACCCTGCCATTAGGTGGTAGTACCCTACCATAAGATATTAATCCTTATACTCAATTAAGAGGTTTTTTGAAGTTTCTTCTTTTTTTTTAAATTTTATTGTTATGTTAGTCACCATACATTACATCATTAGTTTTTTTTTTTTAATTTTTTTTAAATATTTTATTTATTTATCTGACAGAGAGAGAGACCGCGAGAGCAGGAACACAAGCAGGGAGAGTGGGAGAGGGAGAAGCAGGCTTCCCGCCGAGCAGAGAGCCCGATGTGGGACTCGATCCCAGGACCCTGGGATCATGACCTGAGCCGAAGGCAGACGCTTAACGACTAAGCCACCCAGGCGCCCTACATCATTAGTTTTTGATGTAGTGTTCCATGATTCGTTGTTTGCATATAACACCCAGTGCTCCATTCAGTACGTGCCCTCTTTAATACCCATCACCAGGCTAACCCATCCCCCCACACCCTCCCCTCTAGAGCCCTCAGTTTGTTTCTCAGAGTCCATAGTCTTTCATGGTTTGTCTCACCCTCCTATTTCCGCCCCCTTCATTTTACCCTTCCTACTATCTTCTTCTTTAGGCGTTTTTAACATTTTTATTATAAGCTACAACAGATTCAAAACACTGCATAAAGAAATGTGTTTCTAATAAGAATTTTAAAGTGTTGATTTGCCATTAAGTTCTTAACCCATTTGGAGAATGTTTTGTTTTTATATGGTGTGAGGTATGGATCTGATTTTATCTTTTCCTTATAGTAGTTTTTCCTCAAGTCCATTTATTGAATGATTCGACCTTTTGCTCTTGATAGGCCATGCTATCTCAGTCACATACCAGTGCTTCATACCTGTATGAACCTGTTTCTGGGTTCTTTGTTCTATTTCATCGGTCATTTTGTCTATTTCTGTGCTCTCTGTTCTGTTCCATTGGTCTGTTTGTCTATTTTCAGCATACCCACTGTCTTTATTACTGTGGCTTTAAAGTGGGTCTTGAAGTCAAGTAATGCCAGTCTTCCAGTTTTGTTCTTCACAATATTTTGTTAGCTATTCTGAGTCTTTTGCCTCTCCATATAAACTCGAGAAGCATTGTGTCAGTATGCACACGGTATCTTGGCTGGGATTTTGATTGGGATTGCAGTGAATCTATAGATCAAGTTGGGGTGAACTGACATCTTGACAGTATTGAATCTTCTACTCATGAATATGGAATATCTCTCCATTTAGTTCTTTGATTTCATTATCAGAGTTTGTAGTTTTCTTTATAGATCTTGTACTTACTTTCTTAGATTTATTCCTAAGTATTACATTTTATTTTTTTTTTAGTGCTAATGCAAATAGTATCATGTTTTTAACTTCAGATTCTACTTGTTCATTGTTGGTACATAGGAAAGCATTTGACTTTTGTATATTAATCTTGCATTCTGCAGCCTTACTATAATGGCTTATTAGTTCCAGGAGTTTTCATATCATATGTTCTGTTTTTAAGTGGACTGAATTTGTTTATTGTTTGGTTTATTATTCGTTACTTATTTATTGTAGCAATTTTAATCTCATACGCAGGTTCTGTGAAAATGCAAAATAGATTGGAAGCTGCAGTACTGGATTTCATAGGGACTATTAATTCAGCTAAGTGAGTGTAACTGGGAAGTAAACAGACATTTTCTGATGGTGTGAATAGAGATCAGTGGTTAAGAATAAGTTCCTGTCCTAAAATAGACGAGGCTACTTTGTGTTTCTGGCAAAAGTCAACAAAAATAACATTTTACTTTTGATGGTACATCTATCTTTTAAAAGTATTTTCTTTACCTATCTCATTTAATCCTTACACCAATTCCATGAGTTAAGTAGAGCAGGTAAATTTTCAACCCCTTTGGCATATGAAGAAACTGAGGTATGGAATAATTAATTGACTTGCCTAAGGTTATTGAGCTGGACAAAAGCAGTACTAGAGCTGTGACTCCAGAGCCTTTAATTCTCCTTTGGGAGATTTAAATACTAGGCTTGTATTGCTTCAGAAGTCAACGTGCAGAATTTTAAAAGCCCTATTTAAGTTCATTTACAAGGACTTATCACAATTTCATTTCCCAGGTATTTTGTAAATAATACCATTTACAGATCTTATTAAATATTGTGTGAATGTGAGTAAATTCTCCAGTACTCTGTCTTAAAAGGTTAACACTGGCATAGACAACCCAAAAAGTATAATAGGGATATTATTTATTTTATAGTGCTTTTTAAAAAAATTTCTCCCAGTTGTTTTATCTTCCTCTATTGGTTTGCTTAGACTGCTATTAAAATTAGCTTGTGTGTATTGATTAATGGCTAACTGACTTTGGGGAACACAACCTTGCACTGCTCTGGAAAATGAAAGCTAACAATTGAGGGTTAACTAGCATTCTTGGAAAGAAGAGATTTCATTCATTTATACTTTATGCATTACATCTACCTGTGTATCAGATTGGCCTAAGATCTGCTATTATTTAAGAAAGGTGCAGCCCATCTGTAAACGCAACCACCATTTTATTTCAGGAGAGCAGATAGAATCATAAATCAAATTTAAGACCTATCAAGAATTCATTTGTCTACCTTGTTTGGTCAGATTAGTTGATAATTGAGGCAATTCTCAATTCAAGTTGAAAAAGAAACCTTGTTTTTTATTCTGAGGCCTAACTCAACAGACAAATGGACTTCTTAAGGTAAATTTTGAGTTGGGACAGTATGATTGGAGAACTGTTAAAACGCTACAGGAAAATGGCTGTTTTTCCCTGGGCTTTTGTGGTAGAGGGGAGAAACCCTGTAGAATTATTATCAAAGCTTAATGTTAATGCTTTATTTTCTTAGAGAAATTCTAATTATTTGCTGCTCACACAAGGGAATTTTTCTCCATTCTCTTTTTCACACAGATCCGTTTGAACCACAGCGGCGTCTTCCTGTGAAGAAAAGTCGACAACAACTTCAGCGAGAAAAAGCCCTTCAAGAGCAAAGCCAAAAACTTGGACTTCAAGATGGATCAACCTCAGTACCTCCAGAGCAGCTGCTTTCTGCACCAAAACCAAGCTTTAATAGTCCAAAACCACATTCTTCTTTCCCTCTTCCTTCTAGTCCTCTTACACTCACCTCTCCTGTTGGTGATGGAAAACCACAGGGTATTGAAAGTCAACCAAGGGAACTGGGACTTGAGAATTCCCACGATAGTCACAAAAACGCCGAGATTCTACCCCTGAAGCCAGATTGCAAAATGGAAAAAAAGAAAGTGGAATTGTTAGTAAGTCTATATATCCATGAGACTTTTTCCATTTTACTTTTTTTTCTCCGTTAGGCTTTGAGAAATAGTAGTTTTAACATTTTCTTTTTTATATTCTAACCTAGAGGTGTAATGGATAACCTGTTAAAGATTAGCTACCCCCTAAATGTGTTGTAAACCAGTCAGTGTTGGGTATGTTATACATGTTATGTCACTTAGTCTTTGCAGCAGCTTATAGTACCAGTTCATGATTTTCACTCTATAGATGAGATAACTTGGACTCAGAAAAGATAACTTTATTCCTAAAGCAAATACATAGCTAATAAGTAGCAGAGTTGGGATTCACATACAGGTCTTTCTGGATCCAAAGTCTCTGCCCTTTACCGTCACCAGAAGCAGTTCTTATGCGTAGGACTCACTCCATCCCCATATCGAACCTATTCTTCACCGTCCAGACTACATCTCCATTGGCCCAGAAAAGGGTGTTTGTGAAGAGATACGAAGGGATAGTCAAAGAAAAGTTGAAATTTAGGAAATTGAGAGGACTAATAAAACGATTCAGCTCCATCATTTGATTTCTTTTTATTCTTTATTTAATGTGCTTGTATTAGAAACTACCTCCAGAATTTAGTTTAGAAACATTCTTATGGAAATTGCTATTCTATCACTTGTGAATTCTCAAAATATTTATCCTAGAGCTTATGTTTTAATATCCACTCATGTTTTGTTTCCTCCCAATTTATCAGGATGTCATTTGTTTCTGTTTTCCATTTTCTGAGTCTTTCACAGTATCTTAGGATTTCTCTGATCCAGATTCCATGCTATGAGTTCACAACCAAGAAAGCATTTTTAAAAAAATTTTTTTTTTATTAAAATGTTTTATTTATTTATTCATGAGAGTCAGAGAGAGAGGGAGAGAGAGAGAGAAAGGCAGAGGCAGAGGGAGAAGCAGGCTCCCCGCCTAGCAGGGAGCCCGATGTGGGACTCCATCCCAGGACCCTGGGACCATGGCCTGAGCTGAAGGCAGACGCTCAACCATCTGAGCCACCCAGGCACCCTAAAAATTTTTTATTGTTATGTGAATCACCATACATTACATCATTAGTTTTTGATGTAGTGTTCCATGATTCATTGTTTGTGCATAACACCCAGTGCTCCATGCAGAACGTGCCCTCTTTAATACCCATCACCAGGCTAACCCATCCTCCCACCCGCCTCCCCTCTAGAACCCTCAGTTTGTTTTTCAGAGTCCATCGTCTCTCATGGTTCGTCTCCCCCTCTGATTTCCCCCCCTTCATTCTTCCCCTCCTGCTATCTTCTTCTTCCTCCTTTTTTTTTTTAAAGAGATATAAAGCCACATGAATTATGAGAACAACATTGAACAAGTGCATATATTTAAATGTCTTTAAATGTAGTTTACCAGCATAGACCTGAGACAAGTAGAGGAGGGTGGGTTTAAATTGAGCTGGCCAATTTAGATTGAATGTTGTTAGGAAAATAATTTTTTTTTTTTTAGGTACTTGGGAAAATTTTCATAGAAGACATGTAATCTCAAGAACTGTCATTGAAAAAGGAATTCTGAGCCTATAAGAAGGGGAAAGGAAAGCTCTATCCTATAGGATGCTCAGAGATGGCATCGCATGTCTCTGGAAGAGGCAAAAGTGAGGCCAGAGAAAGTAGAGAATGAGGGAGGGCGACGAAGGATGTGGAAGCTGAGGGTTCCTGTCTGTTGAGCTCCCCGATGCAGTCGTGTATCACCAAGGCCTTTGAGAGAGAGATACCCTGGTCAAAACAACGGTTAGAGAAAATGCAGGTGTCAGCGTGGTGCATTCAGGGGAGGGCACCAGCTGAGCTGGACCTCCAGCACCGGGTGACAAGATGCCCGTGATAGTGAGGCTGAGAGCGGACCAGTGCCAGCACCAGGGTGGAGGCTGTGAGAATGGGAAGGAAATGATCAATTTGGAAGTGGTTACTAGGTCTCGGACTAGAGAATTTTGATACAGTGGCCATAAGAAATGGTAATAAAAGGAATAAATAGCTTTGTCATGACCTTGTTTGAGTTGACATCCAGTTGTTGAATTTACGGAAAATTTTAATCTACGTCTTTCAGAATTGAACAGAGGGAAAACTCTTTTCAGATCTTTGAAGTCTCTTGGTAACCCAGCATTCAAATCTTAGCTCATGGTGTTTCGCTCTGTTTAAAATTGTTTGAGATCTGGAAAAAAGAAAGCGTATTGAAAAAAAAATGAATAAAATAAACATTGGTTATTGTCCTGAGCGTGTTAGGTGGTAGAGACTTTTCATTATAGAAAACTCTAAAAGATAGAACATGATATTAGCTACATACCAATTTATTTTGCTCTCCATTTTGCATATAATACATAATTAACTTATACAACTTTCTTTGTTCTCCTAAGAAATGCCATAGTACTCTAGCTTCCAGTTTGTGGCTTCCTAGATTATATACATATAATGGATTTCAAAGGGCCAGTTTATGTAAGCCTTCAAATCATAATCTTTGTTCCTATTAGAACAAAATAATGAGCTGCAGATGGGTTCCTTTTAAGAGAGTTTTTGAAAGAAAATAGACATAATCTACTTGATTAAATTTTATACATAGGGAACTGAGCCTGGTAAGGTGTAGGATGGGGTTTCAGAAACTCCTTTTTATACTTTTTTTGTTCCCTAGGCAAGAAAAATCTCGTTGGGAAGTCCTCCAGCAAGAACAACAGCTAATGGAAGAGAAAAATAAACGTAAGAAAGCTCTTTTGGCTAAAGCTATTGCAGAAAGGTGAGGCACCTGAACTAGGAGAGTTGTTTATAATCTGCTATCAGTTCTGTCATGTTTTATATTTCTTTTCCCTGTCTCTCTTGATAAATTGATGTTTTTCTCTACAACATTCATTTTTAATTTTTTTTGTAAAGTAGGTTCCATGCCCAGTGTGGGTCTTAAACTCACAACCCCGAGATCAAGATTCACATACTCTACCGACCAGCCAGGTGCCCCTCTACAGTGTTACTTTTAAAGCTAACTAAACAAATTATGCTTTATAAATGATACTGAAATTCCGATGTTTATTTATTAAGGAGGACTTTGTAAGCCAAAATTGTGAATACAGGTGCAATTAAAACTTCAGAATCAGCATCAGTGTTTTCAATTTTAGCCATCTACACATCCAAAGGAAGAGGTGAATAGCCATCAATATAAGTGCATTAGCAACAAGAGCAGGTTTTAATTTTGACATGGGGAGGTTTTAATCATGTGACATGTAGAAGAGTAAGATTATTTATTCCACATAAGTGATTTCCACTCCCAGAAATCTTGTGTTTTTCTATGGACATTTTTCTTGAATAATTTATCTCCCCCACTGATACATGATATAACCTTTCATCAGTGACTCAAGGTCACCATTGTGAGCACTCTGCCCTATTATGTGCACTTCAATATTTCTGTCACCTCCCAGTGTCAGTTTGCCAGCAGTCGCTTTTCCTTTACTTTGCTGTGTTGGCCTCCAACAGCAACATTCCCATTTGAGCCACTTTTCACCCCTCACCCACTCTTCCTGCCCTTTTAGTTTGTAATTTCCAGTGTGCTGTGGCCTTAGGAAACCAAGCTTAGTCAGTGAAGCAATGATTGAGAATAGGGAGAATGAAATGCAAGCGAGTATTCTTGGCATTTTCTTTTCAGATCTCCAGAAAAGCCTGGCAAAACTATTGGTTATTGAAGCTGATGTATGTGTTGGGGGAGGGGAAGGGACAGGGCTAGAGAGAAAGGCAAGTAGGTATATGAGAGTCATTCAGAATTTTATCTGTCAGGGATGTATGTATTTGAAAATGATGATTTTCTTTTTTCTCCAGCTGGTCCCCTTTGATCTTTCATGAAACATGGGAAATATGCAACTTACTGCACTTACATTTCAAGAAAAAAAATGTGATTATTGAAAGTGAATAGCGATTTTGGAAATCACTTTAGTAGTCTTCATTTTGGAAGTGGTTGGGGAGGCTGTTCACTGGGGATTTTACAGAAAGATTTATAGGCTCAGCACTTGTTCTTTACATGCATTTGGTTGAAGACAAAGTATTGATACAGGCGGAAATGTAGGGAAATATAACCTGATTAGATTATTAATAAATTCGCCAGCAAAGTACTTGAAGTAAAAGACTCATACTGGTAACTTTTGTAGGCAGAAAACAAGGGAAAATGCATAATGGAGTAGAAATAAGGAGAATATAAGTTGCAATATAGTGGTTTTCTGGGGGGGGTTTATTCTGTGAGAAGGGTATGAAATTTTGAAGTAAGTGAAATCAGTTTGAAGGTTGGCTTTTGTATTTGTTTATTCTGTTTCTTCAGTGTGTCATGTATTTGGAGGTGGTGAGGGGACTGAGGTTGAATGTGCTTTTAAACAAAGAAAAAAAAAAGTATTGGTTTTGAGCCCCAGAAAGAATTTTGAGGACCTGTAGTGCCTAAAAACCAAGAATCAAAGTAATGAAAGTTTGGGGGAAATGGGTCCTAAAAAGGTTAAAACCAAAAATATAAAGAAATGGTGTTTAAAAAAACAAAAAGAAATGGTGTTTAATGCAGGCATCAGTTCTTTTGTCCACTAAGTATCAGACAAATGAAAATGGGCTTAGCAAGAATTGAAGGCTAGAAATTTAGAAAGGTTTGTTAGATGTTCCATGTAAAGAGAATACAGATACATTCTTTCACTGCCTGTTCACATCCTCATGGAATGAATAGAGACCTATAAGTGAACTATTCGTTTTTTTTTTAAATCTTACTTTTTCCTTTGTGTATTGGAATAATAAGGGAAAACAGCACAAATGCAGTCTTAGAGATATACCAAAATGTTGCCAGCATTTGTTTTATTTCAATTTGTGCTTTTTTTTCTAATTTTTAAAAAATTATACATTAAAATCATATTGTATATACAGTAGGCTGCTTTTTTCACTTATATTGTATATAGATACATGATTTTAAAATGTCTTTATTTTTCTACTCATTTTTCTAGATCTAAAAGAACTCAAGCAGAGACCTTGAAACTAAAGCGGATCCAAAAGGAGTTACAGGCTCTAGATGACATGGTGTCAGCTGATATTGGAATCCTCAGAAACCGGATCGATCAGGCCAGCCTCGAGTATTCATATGCTCGGTGAGTTGAGAGAACTCTGAACCAGGAGTCAGAGTAAATTAATGTTTATTGCTAGCTGGGCCAGGAGCTTTCAGGTGTGTCGTCATTGAAGCCTCATAACAATACCGTTAGGTGCTCTATCCCTATTTTGTATTCAATCAAGTGTCTCTTCTTTTTGAAGTCTTCCTTAACTTCCCCCCATCCTTGTTCATATTCCTGTTAGAGCGTTTCTTGCATTATTTATTTGCATTTTAGTCTTTCTTGCTAAACCATCAGCTATGTAATGTTTGGGACTCTAAGTGTCTATATGACTTGTCCCCAAATTCTATTATTCTAACACCAAGTCCATAATCTTTCTATTAAGGAATTTTGATTATCTGAGATGGTTCTTAGAGATTATCCTAGTTCTCATTTCAGTTTTCATCAAAGAGAGAAGACCTAGTTTATTTTTTTAAAGCCTTATGAGTATTTTTTTAAAAATTTTATTTTATTATGTTATGTTAGTCACCATACATCGTTAGTTTTTGATGTAGTGATCCATGATTTATTGTTTTCGTATAACACCCAGTGCTTTATATGAGTATTTAAAGAAAATACCACTCTGTCTCGAAAGCTTGAAGTTTTCCTCTTTTTTTTCTTTTTGATTGTATTCTGTATATAATAGTTTGCTATCATGTGTTTTCTTGGTTTCAACCACTGGAATTTTTTTAGTGAAAAATTCATCATGGAGTATTTTTAAAATGAACTAACACATGTAAAGAATTACATGAACTTTGCAAGCAGATAAAAGGGCAAAAAATTAGGTCCAGTTTCAGGGTTTTCAGTCCTTTCAGCGTTGCTTTAATCATCCTAGTTTGTCTTTTTTTACAAGGGAATGCCGTGTTAATGACTCCGTTTTGCATCTCTCTGTAACACTAGAAATCAATCAGAATGCCTCATTAGTCCAGGGTAAACCACAGCATCAGAATGTTTATATAACAATTTAATAAAGTGGAAATGCTTGATTGTGGCTTTTAATTCACTGTTTATTAAGAAAGAGGTTTGTGGTGTCCTTGTGATTTTTGTAATTGTTGTTTGACCATATGCTATTAGACTTAATGGGTTGCTTTTATTAATTAACTGCTTAAATTAATGCCATCAGTAGCTGATAACTGGAGGTTCCAGATTTCTATTTATAAGGTCATTAAGGAGGTAACCAAGATTTTATTAAGATAAAACTAATCCTAGATTTTTAGCATATTTTATTCTCTGTAACTTAAGTTTACCAGAGGAACATTCTTTTGCCTTTATAGCCCTTTATGTGAATAATTCAGATTATTATGGATACCTCAACAGAAAATCATCTCATTATGTTTTAATTCTGTCCTAGAGGAGGCTGGAGTAGGATGCATTTGTATGTTGAACATAATATAAGAAATGTCATAGTTTTAGCCTTCAGAGAACCACAAAGAAAGTGGGATTACTGGTTAAAGAAGAAAACATCCCGTAATATATAAACATGTTTAATGAAATTTTAGTAAATTTTTATATTATATTTACATAAAATTTTACATCTTTTAACAAACTAAAGATGGCAATTTCTCATGGTACTGGTATTGACATAGTTGTATGTGAATATCCGTATTGTATGTGTGAGGCTATTTTTAAAAATCTAAGCTCTTGAGATAAGTCAAAGAGAAGCCATAGACGATTGTGACTAGGACCAGCATTGTATCTCGTTCATGCATAAGATTAAGACAACATTTTCTAAATTTGCATCTGTGGTTATTGAGAAATTAGAGATTGGTGATACAATATTGTAGTTTAGATTTATACTGGTAGCTAATCCCCAGGGCAACCAGTTTCTATTGGAGATTTCCTTGATTTTTTTTTTTAAATAAAAATAATACTGTAGTTTTATAGTACAGTGCAATGTCTACAAAAGGTTCTTAGATAATGAATAGTCCAGAATTTGCTTTAAAATTGGCTTCTATAGAGCATTGTTAGAGTAGACCCTTTTAAGGAGACCAGCACTTGGAATGAACCAAATTGAGAGTTATTGCTGCTGTTTGCATCTGTGACTCCCAGGCTGCCGTATGCTGCATAGACCAACTTGTGAAACAGAGTGGCTGTGTGTAGAACATTTCTTTGACCCTTCATGGACCAGGAAAAACTATAATCACTGTTAGCTATTTATGTTTAATAGACATTCCCATTAACATATACACATACGTGTGCATACACATACACACATATATACATAAATGTTTTATGTATAATTTACAGAAGTAAAAATAATAGGGATTGTGGAAAGAAACTTTATTAAAAATTTTAATAAGAATGTAAGCATAGCAGACCTCTTTATGTCAAGTAACTCTTTACTCCCAACATTATAAAAAGCTGAAAGAATGCAGTTACATCCTTTCACAACACTTTCACAACACAAGACAGTCCAAGTACTTGTAAAATACTGTGTGATCGAGTTCTTTCTGTTGGAATTATTAATTCTATGAGAATAACATTTCCTTTTTATCCTCAGAAATATATTTTTCAGTCACTGACTCTGATTTTGAGAACAGGTTCATCTAGGATGTGTTTTTCTGAAGTCTCATACGCTTGAGATTTCATGTATGTCATTGGTGTCACCATCTAGAACCTAGACTGTCTGTTTTGGCCTTTGTATTAGGTTCCTAGGGCTGCCATAACAAGTTACCACAAACTGGGTGGTTTAAAACAACAGAAATTTATTCTCTTACATTTCTGGATGCCAGAAGTTTGAAATCAAGGTGTTGGCAGTGTCAGTCTTCCTTCACAGGCTCTAGGGAAAGAATCCATTCCTTGCCTCTTACAGTTTCTGGTGGCTGTAGGCACTCCTTGGCTTGTGGCTGCACCACTAAGTTCTGTGCCTCTGTAGTCACATTGCTTCCTCCTCTTCTCTCTCAAAACTTCCTCTGTCGCTTTCTTAAAAGGATACATGTGATTGTATTTAGGGTCCAACTGAATAATTCAGAATAAACTCCTTTCAAAATTGTAAACTTAATCACATCTTTTACCATATAAGGTAATATTCACAGATTCTGGGGATTAAGAAGTGAATATCTATGGGTGGTCATGTTTTTAGCCTACCATAACATTTGTCTTATGATTTGTCTAATAGCTGCGAAATGTCTTCATCTGTCAACTTTCTCTACTTTGTCACTGTGGGCAGAAAATGAAAAATACTAATTCTGAACTGTGTTCAGTGAAAGCTGAGAACAGATTACAGATACGGTGTTTCTAGTCTTTTTTTATATCTTTTTGAAAGATGATGTGATACTTTGAACAACACAATAAGGAAACTAAACAATGATTTATTTCACTGTGGCATCATCCTTTGGGTCATTCTATCATTCTCTGTTTTCTTATTTTTTTTTCTGCAAAATGGGAATAATTGATGAGTAATAAGGAAATAATTCCCAGGGCAACAAAATGGCAAAATGTTTCAAGATACAGGAACAATATATCCTGTCTCAACAATTCTGTAATGTATCTCAGATGTGTAAAAGGATCCAGTGGACCCATATAGTAATTGCAAAATGTAGTTTTATTCTATCCTTTCTTAGGATAAAAACCTTGATATGTTGATCCTTACAAATAGTTAGAACTGCTCAGAAAAGGAACCAAAAAACTGAAAGTGCACCCATGAAACCTAACAGCATGCCAAGGGTTAATTATTGGATTCTTAAAAAGTTTCAGGATACCAAAACCAAGAGACAGATTCTAGAACCCTTTAAATATCATTAAATGACTTGATGTCCCTTTAAAATAACAAAACAATTCTGTAATTACATTTCCAGTTCAATTTAGCTTACTGTGTTATATATAATGCTCTTATTATTCTGTTCCAAAACATGTCATCATATTCTGATTTGGTATTATCCACCTGAACCTCCAGCTCATAGTGCAGTTTGTGAAATTAATATTTCAAACATAAATCACTCTGTGCAGGAATATATATGCATGTTTCTGGCCAGAAGAACTTTAAATAAATAAACAAAATGCAAAATCTTCAGTGATTTATCCAGGGTGAAAGATCAATGGAAACCTAGGGACGTATTTGCAAATTTAATTTCAATTCAGCATTCACGAGCCCAGTCAATAAATCTTTACTGACTTTGGCTGGCTGAGGGGACCTCAGACCACAGAAAGGAGGTTTGACTTGGGGGGAAGGGGCAAGGTTTTCTTATACCTGTAGAGAATATTGTTAGAGCTCTTAAGCTTGATGCAAGAACATTCATAAACAGGATATGTTACAAAGTATGGAAATAAGGGATTCACATGTCCAACAAAGCTCTTTTGGAACAATTCTTTTAACATAGAGGGTAATTGAAAAACAGCTAGTTTTCTCATTCTTATAGTTACTAGATGACTAAAAAAAAAAAAAAAAATTAAATGTGGTAAATGAACATTATGTAAATAACAGTTTTCAAGTATAAATACTGAGTCCTTAAACTTTGCATAATTTTAGTTTTAGAGTACTTGTTTAGTGATAAACTAGCAACGCTTTTTGATTCTGGTACTCTGAAGGAGAAGTTCTCTTTTTTGAGTGCCTGCCAGGCACTGGGCGAGACACTTTCCCTGTTTATACCATTTAATCCTTAACACTCCTGTGAAGTAATAGTGTCATCACCATTTTACAAATAAACCAAAACTCAGATGAAGATACTACCAAGGGTCACTATACTGGAGTTTTCAGACATTGCACATAAATTCTCCAGCCTCTTCCTTAGGAACCTAGCTGTGTTTTGTACTCATGGTGCTGACCCTGGGGCACACCTGATTAGAACAAAGATGGGCTACCAACTCCAGAACATTTAATCCAAAGGCTAAATAGGGGTTGGTGGCAGGCTGGACACTAAGCTCTGTTCAAACTGATGTGAGCCAAGCTAAGCCAACCTGGGTCCTTCCCCTGGAATTCGAACACTGAGAAATTGAGTAGAGTGAATTTAATGTAGAGCCACAGCTGGTGGCCATATTGGGTTGTGAGTATGATTGGAAAGCCAAAATGAGAGAAACTGTGGTTTCTAAGCATTAAAGAGAATAGCTTTTGATTCTGATGACATGCCTGTGAAATTGCCTCTTGTATCCTACAATAAAACCCACTTTTCACCTGAGCTAGTTTGACTGGGTATCTGTTCTTTACATCCAAAAAAGGCCTTGAACAAAACAGGTACATACACAGTAAAAGGCAAAGGCAGGTTTTGAACCATGGGTTTTCTAAAATCAAAGCCTTTCATTTTTTCACTATATTCTTTTTCAAGACAGAGAATCTTGTGTTAGGAGATACAACTGTTTCTGTTTTGATGTAACTGTAGTACCGGAAATTACTTACTACATTGCGTTGATGTAGGCAGTCATAACAGGTAAGGCACCATGGCTTTCACAACTGTTAGTGGTTATTAAACTGAACAATTAGTTGATAAATGTGGGCCAGTCTCTTTTCCTGGCCAAATAAAAAAAAAGAGAGGGAAAAGAAAAAAGGGAACAAATTACATGGAAAAGGCAAAAGACGGTGAACCGACATATGATAACTTTTCTTTTTGTGTCAACCTAATACAAAAGAAAAAAAAAGATCACAGGGTGACTTCCCCAGTAGAATTACCTTATTTCTAAGATTGGCATTGCCTGTCTTTGCAGTTTACATAAATGTAAATAGATAAAGTGCGCTGATCAAAGTCTAACAGTAATCTGTTGTTGCAGAATGGAGAGAGAACAACTTAACGCAGAGATTCTCAACTGGGGGCAGTTTTGCCCCTGAGGAGACATTTGATAACATCTGGAGACCTTTTTGGTTATTACAAATATTGGGTGCTACCAGCAGGAGTGGGAGAAAGCCAGTGATGCTGCTGCACATCCTACAATGTACAGGACGGCTCCCCACAACAGAGAATGATACGGTCCAAGTTGTCAGTAGTGCCAAGATTGAGAAACCCTTCCTAAACCTAGCCTGAAATGTTTCTCTTCTACTTGATTCTTGCTTCTTGCCTCACCTAATACCATTTACATTCGCCTTGCAACCACTGTCCATATCCTTCTCCACCAAAAATCTTCTTCCTTTTCTAATCCACTAATCAAGAGATGCAGATTTTCTACCTTTTCCTTCTCCGGTTGTTTTACCTCTCATACATTTTGACCAGTTGTGTGCTGGACCTAGGTTGCGCTGGTTCACGAGAACAGATTTTGTGTATCTCTTTCCAATTCTACAATCAGTGATGGCACATTAACTGCCTGAAATTGGCCATAGTGGTGGTAGTATTTATAATACAGAAATTGACAAACACTGCAAATCAGGGCTCTCCCTGACCAGAGCTAGCTCACCACTGAATTAACCTCTCAGCCTGCTTTCATTCAAGCCCAGCTTCAGGAAGAGGAAATGAATGCAGAAGAATGTCATTACATTAGAAGGGCCCAAATGTGGATGTTGTAAAAGTTTGAGCAGCAACAGCCTGGTTTGTCTGACGTGTAGGACAAGCGTGCATAAAATATTAGTATCCATATCTTCATTATACTTCCTCCCCCCCCCATAATTATTGTTTCTAGGCCCTCCTTTGAATATCTTCTTAAGTGGAAAACCAATGGACCAATCTTTGTACCTGTCCCTACAGGAAGCGGTTTGACAGGGCTGAAGCAGAGTATGTTACAGCAAAGCTAGATCTCCAGCGCAAGACTGAAATTAAAGAGCAACTCACTGAACACCTCTGTACAATCATACAGCAAAATGAGCTCCGCAAGGCCAAGAAGTTGGAAGAGTTGATGCAGCAACTGGATGTACAAGCTGACGAGGAGACTCTGGAGCTTGAGGTGGAGGTGGAGAGATTGCTGCATGAACAAGAAGCCGAAGCAGGGAAACAGGTGGTTCATTTGGAGAGGCCATTTCAGCCTTCTGGGGAGAGTGTGACATTAGGATTTGCCGAAGAGAACAAAAATCATCAAGAACACGCCGCTTCCCTAAAGGTAGATGAACAGTGTGAAAATCCCAGCAGCATTCCCCTTCAAAATCGAGACCAAAATCAAGAAGTTAGAACTCCTGTAAAGGCCATTTCAACTGCTCCGACCACATGAAGTGCCAGTGTTTGTTCACTCAGCTAGTGCGGGATTCAGTAGAGTACACTTCTGTTGGAGATTATGCCATGAGCTCGGATAAGTGTGCCTTTAAAACGGTGTTAATTTTTGAATCCCTGGTTAGTTTTAGTATAACATGTTTGACATTCTAAACCCTCAAATTACGATAATTTTATATGTAGGCACACAGTTTACCTTGATCCAGGGCCAATTCCCTCGGTGTACCCTGATGACTGGGTGAAAACAAACGACCCAAATAAGATGGAAGAAAAACTACACAGTAAGAGTGTTGTTGGACAAGGTAAATATAGAAAAGTAAAATGGAAAATAATACTCAACACCTCATCAAACTCATTTGACTTCTAGGAGAGGTGTTGATGAGAGTCCTATTTTATGTAGTTAGTAGAGAGACACCAAAGTTAACATGTGAAAAAGAGTCAGCAGGAGGAAAAAAACTAACAAGAGTAGCATGTTGAATTGTCTATTGGATCTTACTAGAGCTGCAAAACACAACTTGGGAGTTGCAGTTTAAGAAAGACAAACAGCTTCAGTAACGTTATTTTTGTCTTCAGTTTGCCTTTTAAATGGCTTTAATTCACAACCTGAGTTTTGATTGGTTCATACACACACACAAATATACCACTAATACGTATAATTTTACTATTAATGTATTGTCTTTAATCAGCACATTGATTAAATTTAGACAATGAAAACATTTCTACATTGAGGCTAAAAATAATACAGAAAACCTATCAGTACTTTTGATTATCCAAAAAAATTGATACACTTTTTTTCTAAAGTTATTTGTAAATATGTGTTGCTGGATATAAATTATCCCGTCATAAAGCATTTAAATTGCTAAAATGGTGATTTTCTTAGTATTTTAATAGTTTGTTAATTATTATCACTAATACTTGACCCACTTTCTGCTATATGTGAATGTGTAAATAAATACTGTTGGTTTGTCACAGAATCTGTGAATTTCACATTAAATTGTGATCTATTTATCAGAAATTCCAAAAAGTACTACATTTTAAGTCTTAAAAAAAGAACTATCATAAAAGAGAATAAGGACAAATGTAATATTGTATTTATAATAATGCTGAAAAAGTAAGGGCCATCCTATTTTTAAATGAGTTTGTTTGAGTATTCTAGCAGTGTGGATGAGCTGTGTATTTTTATATTATGTAATTTGAGTTAAAATTATAGCTTTCCATTACTGACTTACCTAAACAGAGGCATTTGTATAGATAGTTGTGTTTTTATTTATGAATGATATTCATAAAAACTGAAAGCATCATTGTCCAATACACTTATTTTTCTAAGGAATAAACGAGTCTGATACATCTATAATGTGGTCTTTTGTTTACTGTTAAAAAAAATCTCAGTACGTGTTCTTACACGCTACGTGGTAGTCATGTGCCTCTACTTTCATGTGGTAAATGCACATGAGCCTCTGTTAAGGGAAATTCATCAATAAATGAAGTTCTGTAAGATCCGCTACATACAGGGAGCTACAATCTGATTCTCATTCGAAATATTTATAAGGTATACGGAGAAAGGAGAACCATGAAATAAAGAATTGGAAGGGACCTCAGAGATCATCTGATTTTATCATCTTTACAGAAGAGGAATTTGAGAGCCAGAGATTTCACTTATGGCATGTTGGCCAACTGGCTTATTTTAAACTTAAAGTGCTAGTAACGTCGCAGTTCTAAAACTCTTGGTGTATCTCTTACATGTATCAGGCTGTAAAGTTCACTGCATCCCTCCACTTGAAAACTTTGTTTTATAACCCATTCAGGGATTGTGTTTGTGCTTGTGAAATGCTTTCAAATATGTCTATAAAAGGTCCACTGATACCATTATTTTGAAAAACTTGCTTTGCTTGGCTTTCCCAGGGTGGTATCCGAGTGCTCAGGTGATGATATAAGTGACAAAGTTATATTGCATCAGTTTTGTACAAGGCAGCTGTATTCCATGTGTGGGAGGAATAAGAGCAAATGAAGTGGGGGCTCGTTGGTATGAGGACCATATGCACTGGCTTTGCCAGGATAGTCCTGATATCTTTTAAAATCATAAAGCATATTCAAAAGACTTTGATATATGGATTCACAAATCCACAAATAATTGTTACTTTCTGTGAAGGAACTTAGGTTCAAAATTACTGCCCTGAGTTTATTGGAGCACTTTGTAGAGCTGTCCCTCTGTAGAGTTGAACTCCTCTTCTCTTGCTTCTACTTCTCAAATAGTTGGAGCATAAAGTTGTCGAGGCTCTTAATAATGTATTACCATAACCATTGGTAGTAATTTTTACTTGTCTTAAAAAAAACAATACTCTGAAGGGTAAACTTGAATTCCTGAATTTAAGAATTCTTATACATTGATTCCCACTACTTTCTTTAAAAAGAACCATTTTTATAGGTTTCAGAGAATTTCTTAAAGCATAGTTCTCATTGCATTTAAAATACAGTGAGAGTTTTTCACGCTCTTCACCTCTGCATAATTTTACTGAATTACGGCACTTGCAGGTGGTAAATCTTTGTACTCATTGAGAGCACAGCTCGTTTCCAAGTCAGATGATAGAAGTCTCTGATTGGAATTTCTAGAACATATTTTATTGCTAGATTGGCATTTGAATTATAGGGTAAAAACTCTGCTATAAACCTCTTTCATTCTTTGTTTGGATTTAGCAACATAGTACTCTCAAGAAGCTTTAAGTATTCAGCAACTTCCTCTTCCAAAACTGGCACAAAACGGACTCAAGTTATTCTGACCCAGGCCATTCCCAGTGACCTTTATAAATGATGTTTTGGGTTTTGTATTTCTCAGGAGCCAAGTCAGCATTTTAAAAGGCCCTGATAGATATAACTCAGTCTGCCAGACAAGACCTGGGGCCACTCTGGACCAGGGTAATTATACCCCCTCTCAACATAGATCTACCCCAGGCCTGACTTGAACTACTCTGGAGGGATGAAGCAGGACACTATTCTCCATCTGCCTTTTCCTTAATGTCAACTACTTTTGCAAGCTCCTAATCCCAAACAGCTGTCTTGAAAATGCAACATTATCTCTCTATGAAATTGATCAAACCACTGTAGGTAGCTACATATATGGACAGAGCCATGTGAGAGGTGTATGATCTGCTCCTTTTGTCCTTAAGCTTATCATCTACCTGAAGGACCAAGATTTATACTCAAAGGTTGATACAGAACATAATGTCTTCTTGATGGGAGGCAAAATGAGCGGTTGGAACACAACATGGATGCATCCTCCAGAAGTCCCAAATTTTTAGAACACTTCTAATTTTAAATACTCTGTCCACTTTTTTTTTTTTTTTTGCAATCTATGAATGTATCTAGGGCCTGCCGTATCTTTCAGTTTGCCTTTAGCAGTAAGGAGCAACACATGCACAACTAAAACAAAAAGCCTCTGGTAGACAACATGTACACATTCTTGAGTTAAAAAAAATTATAGTCACCACCACAGAGTATTGAGAAAAGAGGAGGGTTTTGCATGATTTAAAAGAGGGGGCAGGGCACTGGGATTTATCAGTGCAAAAAACCCCCAAGTATTAGAAAAAGTAAGTACATGCCTTTCTGACAGAGGGTTGATAGTGTCTTGTGTGGAGAGTAGCATAAATATAAGAGCTCATTGCAACAACTCAAGGTCTTGCTGAATCAAGGAGCAATAATTATTGCCCAAACCAGAACAAGGTGGAAATGGAACAGACTCGTGTGAACTCAAGGATAACTCAACATGGATGTGTGTTCCAAGATCACATAGAAGAGAGGTGTTTCCAAGCCAAATGACTAGGAGCCTAAAATAGAGCCATAATTAAGCAATAAGACGTGACAGGGAACACATTTCTCAGTGATTATAGCATGCCTCAAGGGATAAGTCACGAGGTCAAAGGTTCCTGTGATGAGTGAAATAACACTGCAATGTATAGCATCACATTGTTAGAGGGAGAAGGAGAAGGAAATGAATAATCGGAGTTCGAAGAGCATTTCATGAGCTATTCTTCCAGTTGTTGGGAAATACATCCATGTGTACAGTACGTGTGGCCATTAGTTGTATCCAGCACCTGGAAGCTCGGAATTTACACCAGAGCCTTCACTTATATTAAAACCCTGCAGAATTGTCCATCTTCTCATTTTCTCAGCCAAACAAAAACCAGGCCATTAAGATACAGACTTGGAGGTGCATAACCATATATATGGCACTACAGTCTGGTAGAATTTTAATTGCGGGAACTTAGACCTGGCTTTTATAACTGAAAAATAGCTGAAGCAACCACATGGAGTCATTTTCCCAGTATTTTGTCTTATTTACCTCCTGTGCATTTCCCTCCGAAACTGCCAATAGACAAGGCCCCAGTGTCACACAGGTCCAGAAACATCTCTGGTCTTCTAGTCTGAGCTTTCCTTACCACTGCGCTGCTGGTGGAAGACAGGGAGAACTCCAGAGCCAGTGGCCAACTGAACCCCACACTATGGTAGAGGGAGGCCTTTCACCTGGATGAGAAACAAAATACCCACCAAGCACAGCGGGATGAAAATTTTCCAGATTAGCAGATGTCCTGAAAAGCCAGGAGAGGCAGTTTTTGACTGCGAGATTCCTCTGCATGTTTCTGTGATTCTTATTCATCACTTCAGAAGATCATTAAAAATCTTCTGAACCAACCTCAGAGAACAAGATTTTTTGTGATTCTTCATGTATCCCATGGCACAGGCTAGGGTTGTACCCTGGACAGAATTCTGGCCAAACAGTGGTTTGACTTAGCCCAGGCAACCAGTGTTCTCACCTCCCCCAAAAGCATTCTTAAGAAAAGTACTGAAGACAGTGCTATAGACTGAATGTTTGCATCCCTCCAAAATTCATTTGCTGAAACCTAACTGCCATGTGATAGTATCAGGAGGTGGGACTTTGGGGAGGTGATTAGGTCAGGAGGGTAGAGCCCTCATGAATGGGATTAGGACCTTTATAAAAGAGACCCCAGAATGTTCCCTTGCTCCTTCCACTGTGTGAGGACACAGCAAGAAGGCTGTGAACCAGGAAACAGGGTCTCACCAGATACCAAATCTGCCGGCACCTTGATCTTGGACTTCCCAGCCTCCAGACTGTGAGAAATAAACATCTGTTGTTTTTAAGTTGCCCAGTCTGTACTATTCTGTTACAGCAGCCCAAACAGACTAAGACAACAGTTATGTCTTGGGGAAACTAAGTAGGTTACTTTTCTCAAGTGTCCCCTTTTAATACAATGAAATATATTAAAGCAATGTATTTTAGCTTGTGTAGTGGAAATCTTAACCCCCAGCTAAAAAAATTTCAAGCATCAGAGAGCAGATGTGAGAATGGGGTTGTAGTGAACTGCCTGGAGAGGGCTTGAGGAGATCCTGCAATCATACTCCACTGCATGAACTGAGAAATGAGTCTTTATTTGCCTTTATTGCCCATGGCATTATAATCTCCATTTGAGGAAAATTACCCCAAGCTGTCCTCCCCTGACTTCCTATTGCTAACACAACATGTAGTTGAAGAAGTGAAACCAAGTCCGACATTCTAGCCACGTATATGGCTGCATAGTAAACCATCCCATAACTGAGTGTCTTCAAACAGCAACCACTTTTTTGCTCATGATTGTATGGGTTAATAATTTGGTCTAGGCTGGGCAGTTCGTTGATACTGCTGGGGATCTCTTATGTTGCAGTAATTTGGTGGCTTCCCTGGGGCTACATGATCTAAGAGAGCCCCACTCACATTCTGGCAGTTGGTGATGCCTGTCACCTGGACCTTTTTCTCCAGTTAGTCTCTTATCCTCAAGAGGGCTAACTTAGAGGTCCCAGGGTTTCAAGATGGCAGGACAAGCTGTAGACAAAGTTCTACAGTCACATATATCACTTCTGCTGCATTCTGCTGATCAAAGGAAGTCACAAGACCAGCCCAGATTCCAGTGGTGGGGAAGTGGACTTCACATCTTGATGGGAGGAGTAGGACACTCACATTGCAAAGGAACAGCCATCTAGGAATGGGAGGAATTGTGGTTGTCATCTTGGCAAACAATTTACCACAGTCTTCCCCCTGCTTGCTACAATAATTCACATTTGTCCCACACAGAAAATGTACTACCTCTTCCCCCAAAAGTCTCATCCTATTATGGTTTCAGGCATGCAGTCCACGATCTCATCATCTGATCAAGCCCAGATGTGAACGAGCCTCCTCAGGTATAGCCCCTTCAGTGTGGCTCCTCTTAATCTAAAGAACTGTGAGCTAAAATGAAAAGTCACCTGTTCTTCCCACACTTGAACATGCAGTGTGAGACAGGACAGGATAAATTCAGTGGACATTCC